GCAGCAACTTTCGAATCATAGCAATGCCGCCACGGAATTGTCTAGATTTTCCGAGATGGTGCAGTTCAAACCGGCAGTGGGCGGCGGAACAGTACTCGTCGTGAATCTACCGCCCCAAGCCGGTTACCCGACGCCACCACCACCCACGCCACAGCCGATTTACGCTTCCGCGACACACAGGAATTCATCGACGCAACCGGTGCATCTTTCGGCGGCAGCGACGGCGGCTGTGCCCGCGCCAGTCCCACATCCTGGGTCCTCCAGGCAATCCTCGCCACCGTTGACCGGAACAATGGCCAGCACCGGCTCGTCGACGTATGTCGACCCGGTGACCTACCAAAGCCTGGACGGCACCTTAACATCGTCGCGCGCGACCTCGTCCCATCTGCATCAATGGGGCGAGGGCCTGCAGCCGACGCTGAGCGAATGCTCCATCTGCTACGAGCGCAGCATCGATAGCGTGCTCTATATGTGTGGCCACATGTGTATGTGTTATACCTGTGCGATTCAACAATGGCGTGGCAAGGGTGGCGGTCACTGCCCGCTTTGCCGGGCGCCAATCCGCGACGTCATCCGTATTTATCGTTCTTGAACAATTCGGGAGTGACCGAAAGAGGGAGAGAGAAAGAGTGCGCGGACGTCTTCCTGGTTCTCAGCGCCGTTGTCGCCACCGCCACCGCGTCCATCACCGTGCTTCCGTCGTCTTGGTTTCCTTCCGCGTCGAATCCGTCGCGCTTCATCGCCATCGCGCTTCTCGCCCGCCGCCTCCATGATTACCGGAACAAACGAACACAAAATCGAAGCGAAACTCGCCGCCTTCACACTGCCGTATCCCTTTTTCTATTGAAACGCGAGGCACGTTCCGGCAAGTAAAACAAGTAGATAAACCAGGGAACGAGACTTTTCCCATGGGATCTTCTCGGGGACTGCGAAGCGCAAAGTTGCGCTGAATCGAATATTTAACTCAGTTAATTAATATTTAAGGCAGTTTGCGTCGTGTTAGCGTAATCGCGTCGTTGTCAATTAACACGTTAATGGGTGGACCATCGCATCATGCACAAAGAAAGCAGCGGTGCTTTAAAAATCGCGATCACTGCCACCATTGTCGATCGAGCGAGAACGCGTAGATGAATTGCCCCGGATACGAACAACAGAAAGAGAGAAAGAGAGGGAGAGTGAGAGAGTGAGAGAGAGAATGAGAGCGATAAAAGGCTGTAATGTTGGTTGAATTTGCTTGTATATCGATATTCTGTCTGCTAATTTGTAAATGAGTGAAACGTGAATGACTGCGAACTGTGTGATTGTATTATCGACAAAAAGAGATCGATTCTAGATATTTTCACATGCGATATAATCGTCATTATACCATTACCAGTTATTACTACTGCTCTGAACTATTGCTATTCTACTACTACTATTACTACTACTATTTACTACCGTAAATCCAATCTTTAATTATTATTTTATTATTACTATTATTATTAATATTCTATCGCTACTATTAATTATTATTAGTTGTTCATTCATTGTAATTGTCTTTAATTATTCGCGAGTAGCTTCGTTTGCCACGACCGCTCTTATTTTTACGATTTGCCGATTATAGTGATGATTGGTGAATTAACATAGTCATTATCTCGTAGCATGATTATTATTTAACGGACCGTATAATTACATAGCGCAAACTTTCTGATCGAACGCCTAGGATATCTGGATAGCTTAATTGCGTTTCCGGCTCTTCTTTCTAGCGCGATCAAAAGGACTTCGTCGTCCCATATTCTGACCACGACGAGAGCGTGATGGACTTGAGGTCCAATCCAGTGTTCATCTTTCTCGATTATTTCCGCCTTGGACGATAATACTTGAGCGTCCGTAATCTTCGCCGATCGTGTCAGGCGGGTTTTTACCAAAGATCTTAAACGTTTCCCGCCTATTTTACCCGGCCTTCGCGACACTCCAACGGATATTCGCGTACAGGCAAATCCTGACGATGACAATCGCTTCAACCTAGATAACAATATTTACTGATAATGCTCGAATTTTCAGCGTTATCAGTCCTTTAAACACGGATTTCGTTGATATGCGGATTACCTGATGACAATTAGTAAAAGATTTTTGGCCTTCACGTAGCGATACAGACGCACGTTTTTACAAGACGTTGCGAAGCACTGTACAATCGACTTGAAAGTCGATTGCGAACAGTAAAGCTTTTTTTAAATACTTTTTTAATTCGACAGAGCTTAGCACTATTAAGAATTTATTCAAATTTAGCTATTAGCGATTTGATCCTTTGAACATGAAAAGAGATGAGAACGATATAATATTGGTTTTATTGATTCTTGAACAACTCGGAAACTCCTGTTCATCTTTGAGAAAGTGTCTTGCGTGTTCAATATATCTCATCTCGCATTTGTAAAGTTTTTTATCTCAGAGAGAGATAATGATTGTTCTAGGCAAAGTTTACCTACGAATATCTTTGTAAATCCATATTCTTTGACCAGTTATGAATGAGAAAGTTGTCCTCACTATACCAATAGAGAATTGTTAGTGTTTTATTTTACGATTTGTTTTTCTAAGAGAGGAAGACAAATTTTTCACAATCTAGAGAAAACTTGAAACAACAAAACGATTTTCGAGCTAAAAGGGACGACGTGTCTGTAACTCTTTAAAGAGTTAATTTTTAACAAATACGAAAGAAATGAGGAGGAGAGGAATCTCCCTCTCGAATATATAATAACAGATGCGCAATAAAGGTAGTGAAAATCTCTAGTCCAATGAATGGCAGGCTTAATCTGCCAATCCAAAAAGTATAATGAAAAGAACAAGGTAAAAAGCTTTTCCCTTTTTTCTTCTAGATAAACGGAAGAGGGAGAATAGGTAGATACAGGGAGAGAGAGAGACCGTGAAATTTTATAGATACGAAAATATGCAAATTATTACGCGTGTCTGCTAACGAACGGTGCGTCCAAGATTCTATTAAAAGAATACAATATTAGATTATTATTATTCTATTGATATGATACGACGAGATAAGGATCTGTTCCAAAATGTCGCTGACGTAGCGACGATAGAGATGAAGAAAGATAAGGTAAGACGCTTGATAATAATTACGAATGTTTATCATTGTCATCGTTATCGTTGTGATCAGCGTAATTAGTTGTCGTGTTAATTCTGTCGTCAGCTTGGCAGCACCTCGATCATCGCTCTTACGTTTCTACTTTGATTTACTATCGCCTTTATTATAATTATATGATTATGCGACTAACGGCTATTTAATTCGGCATTGCAGAGCTTAGTATGTCTGTAAGAAAGACTACATTTCTTCTTTGCAATATCTTTTAAATTTCTCACGTATCAGAGTAATACGCACAAGTATAGGGGCCGTATTCTCAAAAAATATCGTATATGAAAGCATTAAAAAATAGTATGATGTATACACATTACGTATATTATATATTTCCAATATTTTCGAATGCGATATTTTTCGAGAATAAATTCTCTAAACGTTCACGATTTTTAAACCACACTTTACTACAGTCGAAAAAGGGGAAAAAACAAAAGTTTTACGCGCTATGCGAGAATTTCTCCGACCGTAATGTAAAGATGTCGACGGAAATTTATACATATGTAATATAATTCGCGCAGCCGCGTGCTGTTCCACACAATAAAAAGCCTATAATATCTACGAGCGGTGTTCTGTCTTTCATTTTCCTTTTCTCTTAAAATTTCCCTTTGAAAATCTTCCATTAAAAACTTAATAAGTTCCCCTAAGTTTCCGCGCAATCAAAGAATATATATAATGAACTAAAGAGAGTTCAGATTTTTTTTTATTATATCACAAAGACGCGCAAAAATTCATATATCTAAAATAAAAACAATATATACAAAACATGTACAAAAGGACAACAAAACAATGTAAAAATCCTACAAAAATAGTGACCGAATAAAAAAAAACAATCATTTATCCCACGAAAGTACGTGCGTTCTTAGTGCACGCGATTGTCATTGCGAGTCTTTTATAGGTAGTTACATTTCTTCTTCGCCACCGACATCCAGAGAATCCGTGGCGACTTCTTGATAATCCTTTTCTAACGCGGCCATATCCTCTCTGGCTTCGTTAAATTCACTCTCGTCCATGTTTTCACCGATGTACCTGACGTATTATAATTTGCGAATGTGGGAAGAATCCATGTGAGTTTCTAATTTCGTGAAATGAAAATTAGTTTACCAATGAACGAAGGCTCGTTTGCTGAACATAAGGTCGAATTTTCGGTCCAGTCGGGCCCACGGCTCTGCGATCGCCGTGGTGTTCGCCAACATAGCCATAGCTCTCTGCACCTTCGCCAGATCACCGCCCGGTACTACAGTTGGTGGTTGATAATTGATGCCTACCTATTATGTTCAAATCAAATCAATAAAATGTTGGAATTGATGCCAAAAGCTCGTAAAATATTCTAAAGTAGAAAACTGCAGATGTAGCCAAACTAGTAAATTGAAATGTATATTCCGAAATGTTTTTTACGTTGAAGAAAAATTGCCAGAAAAGAAACCTTGAAACCCGTTGGACACCAGTCGACGAACTGTATCGTTCTCTTGGTTTTGATAGTCGCGATAGACGCATTGACATCCTTCGGCACCACGTCGCCTCTATACAGCAAACAGCAGGCCATATACTTGCCCTTTCGCGGGTCGCACTTGACCATCTGCATGGCTGGCTCGAAGCAGGCTGAGGTGAGCTCCATCACAGTGAGTTGTTCATGATATGCCTTCTCGATCGACACAATGGGCGCATAAGTTATCAGAGGAAAATGTATCCTAGGATAGGGCACGAGATTCGTCTGGAATTCGGCGAGATCGATATTGAGAGCACCGTCGAACCTCAGAGAGGCCGTGATGGAGGAGACAATCTGACCGATCAGCCGATTCAAATTTGTGTAAGTTGGTCGCTCGATGTCCAGATTACGCCTGCAAATATCATAGATTGCCTCATTGTCTACGAGGAATGCGCAATCGGAATTCTCCAGTGTAGTGTGGGTCGTCAGGATTGCATTGTAGGGTTCAACGACTGCTGTGGAAATTTGCGGCGATGGGTATATCGCGAATTCTAGCTTCGCCTTTTTGCCATAATCCATGCACAGTCGGTCCATCAGCAGACTAGTAAAGCCGGATCCAGTGCCACCGCCGAATGCGTGGAAGATGAGGAAACCCTGGAGACCGCTACACATATCGGCTATCTTGCGAATTCTGTCTAGTACAAGGTCGATGATTTCCTTTCCTAGGGTGTAGTGGCCACGCGCATAATTGTTTGCAGCGTCTTCCTTGCCAGAGATCAATTGCTCGGGATGGAATAACTGATGGTACGTTCCCGTGCGTACCTCGTCTAAAGGACGACAACGAAGAAGCAATTATATTAGTATATTGATGTCTCATTATTAATTACCATCGTAAAACGAGCTTACCTATTACTGTTGGTTCGAGATCGAGGAAAACTGCCCTAGGTACGTATTTTCCACCGCCTGTTTCACTGAAGAAGGTCTGGAAGCCCTCATCGCTCGTGCAAGTTTGCGGTGGCAACATACCATCAGGTTGTATGCCGTGTTCCAAGCAATAAAGCTCCCAGCAAGCGTTGCCCACCTGCACGCCGCCTTGGCCAATATGGATCGAAAGCACTTCGCGCTATTGGTTTCGATTAATCAATGTATCTTATCGCAAATCTGCATCTTTTACCGTTTTAAAATATCACAAACTATACAAATCCCTCACTATTTAATAAACTCATGTTTTTTAATTTTGAATTTATGATTCCTAACGTTTGTAATTGTATCGAATGGTGATAATACATATCGAGCTTAAATCATTTAGTATTTTATCATGCGGAAACGTGATGATTTTTGAATTGCTAAATCTGCAAATGGCTAAATTATATTTTTCGATATTTACCATTTTGAAGACTCGCTAGTTTGCAATAAGTGGGATAAACGAACGTTATTGGCACCGGAAATGTTTGACACGGATTAATGACGAGACAATTTGTTTTGCGATTTTCTTTCTCGTTGTCCAGGGAAACGGTAAAATACATGTAAAAATCTAGTAAGCCTTAATTTTCAGATAGAAATTTTTAATAAAATATCATCGACGTTACATTATAATAAAAAGAATTTAATTAAAATATTAAAGTTCTCAATCCTTTAGATATATAAAAATTTTTATCATTTGAGGACCAAGAATAAAAAATACAAAAAAGATAAATGTAAAATCTTTTTTATACGTATATTTTTTTGGATTAAAAAATAATATGCATATATTACATTAATATGCATTACAATAATATGCATATATTACATTAATAGACAACTAAAAATGTATAACAATGTTATTAATGTGCATTACTCCTCTTGTCTTATTAATCCTATTTCTAAAAGGCACCATTTAATTCTTGA